TACATACACTCTGTAAAGATCTCTGCAGCTCCAAAAGAGTAAAATCATGTCCCTGTTTCTGCATTTAGTCTGGATTAGAAAAGCCAGCCAGTGTTCCAGCCACTGTTAGAGATGAATACAGCCATATGAAGGATCAGCAGATCAGATGGAAATCTTCATCATGGTACGTCAAGTTCTCTCCATGATGATTTCGTGGATGATGAAACATAGCGCTCCCTGCTGGGTGACCCCTCACATGGCAGCTCACCTGATCTCATAGATCACTTTGGATTGGGACCAATAAAAGCTTCTCCTGCTGCTCTATTCTTCTTCTGTCATTCCCAGTCTCCTTGGCCGCATTAAGACAGGTTCTGGTTTCCATTTTGATTTCTTAGCCCCAGTCTGGACCTACCAGCAGTAATTAACAAGTGAGCTGAAGACTTCTTGTGATAATTATGGGGAACAGGAGTGTTTCCAGGAGAAGCTGCCAGGTGATGCATTGCAGAGGATTCCCTGACAGGAAGGTGGACCTTCATCTGTCTTCCTCCTCTGCCTCTTTCAGCCTTAATGTTAGGGCCAGTCATTAGCCACCTCCTATCAAAACACACTTAGCAGCCCAGCTCAGAGCTTCAGACAGGTGGGGGGGTGTTTGGGTGTGTGAATCTGCACTGCAAAAAATATAAATCTCAATAAGTTATTTTTTCTTAAAATAAGTGTGTTTTTCCTTGATTTGAGGAGATAAGTAAGACACTTTGCCAATGGAACAAGACAATTTCCTTTTAAAATAAGAAAAAACTATTTTATCGTCTTATTTCAAGTAAATATTATCTAACTATCTTATTTTAAGAGTGAAAATACTCATTCCATTGGCAAATCATCTTATTTACCTGCTCAAATTAAGGCTAAATATACTTAATTTAAGCCATTTTTTACTTATTTCTGGATTGTTTTTGCAGTGTGTGTATAAATGTGAGGCTATCTCACCAAGCGTGTCACTGCAAAAACAATCCAGAAATAAGTAAAAAATTGCTTAAATTAAGTATATTTAGCCTTAATTTGAGCAGGTAAATAAGATGATTTGCCAATGGAATGAGTATTTTCACTCTTAAAATAAGATAGTTAGATAATATTTACTTGAAATAAGACGATAAAATAGTTTTTTCTTATTTTAAAAGGAAATTGTCTTGTTCCATTGGCAAAGTGTCTTACTTACCTCCTCAAATCAAGGAAAAACACACTTATTTTAAGAAAAAATAACTTATTGAGATTTCTATTTTTTGCAGTGGTCTGTCTGTCTCCATAGTGCTGCCATGACTCACTGTGTGAACAGCTCACTGATTCATGTAGGATGAGTGGAAATGCCATCTCCTTGCTAAAGCTGGACAGAGCCAGATGTTTTCTCATTGGATGTTTGTGTGAGAGCTGGATGAGCTCATATCTAGGGAGACCGTTGTATCACAGAGAGAGGGTCCATCTCTGCCCTGGCATTGTTTCATGTTTTCCTGTGGTTATCCTGAGTAAAGAAAACACCTCTTTAACACGTCGCTTCTGGTTCCTAAAGTGAGCTGGAAGCAGAGCCGCTGAGGAGCAGACGGCCTGATGGCCAACAAAGCCTCTATTCAGCCTCTGAGCTTCATCCTGCTCAGAAAACAAGGTGGAAAAGAGCAAGAGAGCAGAGATGTGAGTCCAGGATCACAGATGATGAGAGGAAGATGATTTATTGAAGAGGGCTGTGAGATCAGGATCTGGGAAAAGCTGGGATGGGATTTTAGAAGCTGTGAAGCTGTTTTCAGATTCACAGCTCAGGAGGCTGCAGGGTGTGAAGGCCAGAGGAAAGACCTACAGCAAGCAGATCCTCAGCAGGAACATGTGTGACCACAGACAGGGAAGAAGCTGACAGAAACACACAATAACGGAGAAAGAAGTGAGCCCCACTGAGGCTGAGGGGACAATCAACATCAGCAGTGCTCTCCATCTTCTTCTGTGGTGCAAGCACCCCAACAGACATGGTGACCGATCCAACAAGTGGGAGACCTGCTGCTTCTAAAGCACATGGGTCTGACTGTAAACACTAACATGTGTGCTGTCTGCTTTCATCTCATCAGCTGCTTCATTTATTTCCAGTCAGTCGTTCTTTTTTTCAACATTCAGATACAGCGAACAACAAAGAGGACCCTTTTACCAAACACGGACATATCAGGTCTCCTTCGGGAGCTTCTCTCCCAGTTCAGCAGACAAACTGGGATCCACTCCCTTTGTAAACCTTCCTTTGTTTCCACATCAGCAGGATAATGTGGAAGGCATTTAGGTCAAAAGGAGGAAGATGAGGACTGAAACTATATTAGTCAAAGTGTTGGAGCAGATTTCCAGACCCGCTGGAATCAAATCGGTTCTGATCCAACTGTCCTGAAAGTGTCAAAGAGAAGAGGAGGCCTGTCAGCCAGAGATGGGAAAACCATGAAGCCACCAGTTCATTCCCATCACTGCCATCCATGTAGAACCATGTCCCAAACTGGACGGATCCCAGCCCTGTCCTGTGTCCTCAAAACCATCGACTCATCATTAAAGCCAGAAAATCCACAGACATCAATCCTGCAGCTGGAGCTCAGACAATAATAATGTTGAACATGTCGTCTCCATTCACAGATGCAGTCATTGCTGCAGCTCTGAAGTTCTGCCAGTGCTATTAGTGGTTCTATAATGAGAAGTGCAGCTGATCCACTGGTTCCAGAGACTGAGGAGGCTGGATGGACGGACCTTGAAGCTCTATAGATCGATTGGTGCTAGCTGATGCCAGGCAGGACCATGTGTCTGCTGGCATTGGCAGTTGGATCCTTCAGAATCCACAGTAGTAGCCATTCAAAATGTCCTCACTTTCCTTGATGGTCCTTGGCTGGTCCCCTGCAACTCCTTTTTAAACATCAATCCTTGTACTAAAATAATCTGTCTGTCATGTTTTGTTGACATTAAGATCTAAAGAGAAGCACCTGTTATTCAGTGAAAGGGTGGCGTCAGAGTAAAAAAATACGAACCCCCAGGTGAAGGATTGGGTCCCTCCAGTGGCTGGAATTTGAGGGGATTCTGTTGGGAGTTGCAGGGAAGTGAGCTGCCCTTTGGCTGGCGTTTGACTGGGAAGGGCTATTTTGAATGCCTGCTACTGTAATCTTTCTATTTAGTTGGAGCCAGTGACTCTCAGCCAGAAGAGGAAAACCATCCTGTGTTACACAAAAACACAGCAGAGAGAAAAAAGGAAGGAGGAGAAGCACAGAGTCAGACAGTGATCCTGTCTGTTCCAGAAAGAAACGTGTCCCAGAAAGAGCAGCAATGTGAAGCTCAGGATGAAGAAGCTGCTCCTAAAAACCAAGCCCAGACTGACTGAAGATGTTCAGAACCAAAAGAGGAGCAGCTGGTCTTAGCTTGGTTTGTTCCAGGTTCAAGGCTGTGGGCTGGACGAGGTGGGAACTCCAAAGCATGTTTGCTATCGACCCAACATGTGGTCTGGATCATTGATCCAGCTGGAGGTTTGCATCTGGAGACTTCTTGACCTGAAGAAACTGTTCGAGATCATTTGCATTTATCTGTTAATGAATAGATGAAGGAAGGACCATAGAAGCAGAGATCCCAGAGGACCTCTGATCTGATCCAGGAAGGCTCAGCAGGGCTCAGAAACACGGGTCCATTTGGTTAAAGAAAGCAGAACCATGCAGAGCTATGTTTTTGGAGTGGACAGAGAAAGTGCAGACTGGAGGGAGGATGCTTATGAATCAGAGTGTTTCTCCAGAGCAGGGTGATGATTTTAAAGCTTTCAGATCAGCAGGCCTTTGTTATCATTAGACCTCAGTTCTCCCTCCATTTCTATTCCTGAGTAAAGGCCACCAGAACTCAGTCAGAACAACTGCTCACCAGGACCTGAGAGCCCAGAGTTCAGAGCAGCTTTTCAGAACCACAGCTTTCCATGGAAAAGTTGAGAAAAGATGTTCTGCTCTGCTTGGTGGTGAGCTCAAAGTCATGAAGTTCTCAGCTGCTTCTGATGCTTCAAACTTTTAGGAGCAGAAATGAAAACAGACGAGACTCAGTTGAGAACGAAGCTACTGAGTCAATAATTTTCACACTAATAACTGTGAGATTGGGCCCAGGTCCAGCTGGACGGGTTCTGCTGCTTCCATGGACAGATTGGATGGAAAAAAAATCTTCTGACTCATGTTGGAGACAAAAACAAGACAGAGAAGAAGAGTGTTTTATGACATGGAGTCTGCTTCTGAGCAGCATTCAAGATACTGTTAACTAGGAGCAGATGAGACGAGGAGACAGGAGACCAGCTGTGTGTCTGGGATCCAATAAGAAACAAATTGATCCAGATACAAGCTGTTAGGATCTCTGAGTTCTGACTGCAGCTGGGAAGAACCACACTGTAAACCCGAATGCTCAAAATAATTAATTAGAATAAGTACAATGAACTTAAAATCATCTTAGAAGTTCTACTTACTTAAAAATGTTGAGTGCCAATAGCTTGTACCCTCTTTTTAAGTTATTTAAACTTGCAATTTTTGATTAACATTAATTTTTTGCAGGTTAATTAACTGCTACTTAAAATAATTATCTCAGAGTTACTTAAAATATGTGGATTAAACATGGATTTTTTTTTGTTAAAGAACTGAACTCAATTAAATTCAGAGATTTATATTTGTAAATGTATAAATTCTCTCTCTATCTCTCTCTCTCTCTCTCCTCTCTCTCTTGCGTGCACGCACACACTAAATAAGTATGCTTTCACCGGAAGTGCTTTTATTTTGTAGTATTTGCGTGCGTTCTTCAGACAGTAGACCGGAGTCGACGAGTAAGCCGAAGAAAAGAGCGGGAGACTTAACGACAAGAGTACACTGAGTTGTGAATGTAAGGATCCAAGAAGTTGCTTGAATGTTTGTTCCTGGGGGTTAAACGTGTTTTTTAAAACAGTTACGTTAGCCGTTTTGCGTGGCTAACCGTTAGACGGTTAGCAAGCTAACATGCAAAAGTGCAGATTGGCTTACATTTTCAAAGTCCATGATGCACAGGTGATTATACATTTCACAGGTCTACTGTTGGTAGTTTATTGCTTAAAATAAGCTTTTGAATTCCATAATTGCATCAGATGAGTCAGCAGGCTATCATAGTGGATTTATGTGCAGATTTTGGTAATTGGTAATTAGTTGGAACTGTTTGGCATTGGCTTTGACTAATGAACTGTATTTGCACTATTTTTATTTTCTCAGGAAATACATGATGTCCACACGAGACGGACCACTGTTCTCCATGCCCTTCCTGTTTATCTACGTGAGGAAGTTTCTGAATTCTTCAGATCATGTGTGGTAAGTCTCAGTAGAGAGATCTCAGGCCTGCCCAGTAGGGCTTTAGAAAAATGTCAGCTGCAAAGAAAATCAAGTAGCCATCATTAGCCTAACAGTGGTACACATAAATGTCATCTCTCATTCTCAGCAAACAAGAGCACAATGCAGCAAAATGAACAGGAGTCTTTTAGACTGGTGTATTTATTTTTAATAATAGGACGATCATCTGTAATCAAAATCGCTTCAGTCAAAGTTTCTGTAAATGTGATTTAGTATATGATCCCCCTTTCATTTTTTTAAGGACGGTATGGATGAACCAGACCTGGGGGATGCATCAGTGGCTCTACTTACAGCTGACAGTTACGATGCCGCAAGTCCAGTTCACTACCACCCAGTGAGAGTTTCTGTCGTCCTAGAGGCGGATGTGGTTGTTAACCTTCCCAGGCTTGCTGATGCCTTCCTGGTAATATTTGGACTGATTTATGCTCTACACCTCAGCTATCCCAAGGGACTCACCAACACTTTTGAGTTCACACAGAAAATCTTGCTTGGTCTTGATGACTCTAAACTATCACCTACGCTGCAGACTCTTAAAAATGACTTGATGTTATATGTGTAACTCAAGACCCATAAAGTAGTGGTGGATTCTGATAGCTCACTCTGTTAGAGCATAGTCCACAGTCGCCAGGTCCATGATTGTTCATTGTTAATGTTAAAGTTCTGCTCTACTCAACTGGTTTTCAGCCAAATGGCATAAAGTTGAAGTTGCCTGTACTTAAATTTTGTTTTTAACTAATACAGGAGTGTATTAAGTGTTTATACACATAGGGCCGGATCTATCAAAGGTTTGCGTGTATAAAAACGTGAGCTATTTCACTGCGCACGCTAAAAAATGTACAAACTGATCTATCAACAGCGTGCTAAAAGTATTTGGTCTTTAAAACGTGCTAAATAGCGCCTTTTATCATTTAGTACTTTTTCTGCAATGAATATGCAATATGGGGCGTTTACACGCAAAAGTGCGTCTTGTGGGAGGAGAACATGTAAATATATTAATTTAGCACTCGCAAAGTGATTTATTAAACCTGAAAGTAATTTTGCTAACGGTATCTGACTCTATATTTAACACGTTTTAAAAGAAGGTGCAAATGGTCTGTATGCGTAATTGCGCACACATGGCAGCGGTTATTGTCGCAAGAAGGAGACATCGAAATGAAGCAAGGAGACGCAGAGAACGCATTTTTTCACTCTGTGTGAATATTTTTGGAATGAATGAGGAAACGATCATCAAAACATTTCGTTTATCCAGCATTGACATTTTGTAGCTGTTGGGGGAACTCCGAATGGATTTGGAGCCAGCCACAAGGAGGAACCACGCAATACCAGATATCACAAAACTCCTTGCAGCGTTGTACTTTTTTGCATCTGGGTCATTCCAGCGTACGGTTGCAGCGAGAGCTGGGATCTCCCAATCTCGTTTTTCAGAAGTGCTGTCCGAAGTGCTGTCCGACGGGGTCGGGGTTCTCCCCCTGCGCCTGTGGAGCAACGTGCCAATGCTGCGGGGATGCGTACGCGCAGTCATCTCATCCACAATCACTTCTTGTGAGCCATTTGGTATGTGCATTTTTCTACAGGCCAAGTTTTTTCTTTATATACATATATATATATATATATATGTATATATATATATATATATATATATATATATATATATATATATATATATATATATATATATATATATATTATTTTTTTTTTTTTTTTTTTTTTTTTTTTGGGGGTCACTGTAAGATTTAAATTTCTTAATGCACTAGTTTGTAGAAACTACAAACTACTTTGCCGCAAACCACAAAACGCGCAAAACGATCATTTAAATAGGGTGTCTCCAACAGTTTTGCACCTGCCACCAGTTACGCAATCACTCTTGTTAAATCACCCGCAAACCATGGTTCAGCCCCTCGCGCAAAATTGCAGTTTGCGAGCGCAAATTACTGCACGCAAAATTGGATCTTGATAAATCCGGCCCATATAGTATATTCTTAATCTTTCTTGAAGTTGCTATAAAAAAAAATCAGATACAGTTTTGAATTTTTTGCATATTTGGTTGTGAAGAATATATAAGCAATTTGTTATACATTGCTGCACTGCAGGTTTACAACCAGATGGTCAAAGGTGTGCCTTAACAAATGTTTCTTATTTCTGTATTTAATTCTTTTTTTTTCTTTTGTCAGTTGTTTTTCAAATATTGTTTCATATGAGCAAATCTCTCTAAACCCCTGGTAATGTTGTTTTAAAAGTTTTCTAAATTATTTGTGACATAAAGATCTGTTCTTAATGTAATTTAAGCTTTTCTGAGTTTGAATATTTTTACTATGGTTTATGTTAAAAGATAAACAAAATGTCCAGTAGACTTGTTAATTGTTTATTTATTTATTTATATATATATATATTGTGTTTAAAATACAACAGAAAGGTGTATGAAAAAATTCAGAATAGAAAAAAAAAATTTATTTTTTACTTTTGTGTCAAGAGTACTTATTATCTTTAAGGCAATCAGTTGCCACAAATATTTTAAGTTTGGAGTGAAATGATTTTGAGTTGTAACAAGTCTATGCTTTTGAGTCATGTTTAATGAGAAGATTGAAAGAAAAAAACAATAAATGTTAAGTTCATTGAACCTAAAATCCTGAGTCTTCATACTTGAAATTATTAAATTTGCTGTAGTTATTTCAATGAGAAAGATAAATAAATATTCTGAGTAGAATAAACTGAAGAATTTTGAATTGACTTGATTGATAAATTTAATTAACTTTTAATTTTAATTTACATTTCAAATAAACTCAAAATATATAAGTTATGTCATACTCAAATGTATGAGTTTTAGAACTCAAAAGAATTGTGGCAACTGATTGCCTTACTTTTTTTGAGTACTGCTAACTTATTCGGGTTTACAGTGCATTCATATTCATCAAATCCCATCTCTTCTTCTTCTTCTCGTTGATCTTTAAAGATTTGTCTACAATAACGTAAAGTTGCTGGATTTTCTTGGTCCTTCTTTCATCAGGATGAAGCAACATTTTCTAGAACACTTTTGATTCTCCAGAAGATGATAAAGAGAAACTTGAAGAGAACAGGATCAATCTGAGCTGAATGACAGCAGCAGCTCTAGAACAGGAGATGTTGAAGCTGCAGCAGGAGTTTCTTCAGCTCCATCCAGAGATGAAGAAAACATCTCAGTCTGCATATTTGTAGAAAGCAGCTTCTGACTCAGATGTCTCCATCTTCTTAGTTTCATATTCCTGTTTTCCTTGTTTGTTTGTTTTTCTCCCACCAGGCATTCATGAAAACCAGCTGCAGATCGGATCAGGTTCAGGTTTATGTTCTCCAACAACATCTTCTGGTGAAAGAGACACTAAAACTGGAGAGAGGGGGGAGTGGGTTCTTTTTTAGGCTCAGTTTGGACCCATGTGGGGCTTTGCCTCTTTATGGCGACAGACTGTCAGTCACATTAGCTGATCTCAGGTCAGCCAGGCATCTATCAGCCTCTCAGCAGGGAGAAGGTTGCTGTTAAGTATAAGGATCAGCTTTAGAGTTATGGAAACATCCCCTGCTTTGTTTTATGCATCCTTTACATTCCAGCTCCACTGCAAGCTGTATGTCAGACCTTTAATTTATAAAGCAGAAGAAAATCAATCCTAAACACAACTTGACCTCAACTGTTTCCAAACTTCATCTCCAACCTTTGTTCCTTGATTTAGATCAGAGGATTTGTGTTTCTAACAAAGTTCTGATTGATTTGCTTCCATCTAATCTCCACCTTTCCCCCTCTGTTACCTCTGTACTCTGTCAAACAGACCTAACACCAGGACCTGTGTGTCTACCTTCATCCACAGCTCTTCCTTAATCCTGGATCTGCTCATCTTTCCTCCCCCACATCCAGCAACCGGGATAGAGCAGCAACTAATTCCCAGTAGAAACCTTCCTGGAAGCTGCAGCAGCAGCTGGATGTTGATGGGGAGCACATGGAGCGAGCCCTGGCTGCTCATCACTGACACAGAGAACAAAACAGGTACTAATGTTTCACAGACGCAGGTCTCTGTAAGGAAACATTCCTGCTGCCTGATATGAGTCAGTAGACCTTGTTAGGCCTCACTGTTAGTGGGTTAGACCACCAATCAGATCTAGAGCTTTATTCCTGTAAAGACTCTGCAGCTGAAGCCTGGAGGAGAAAGAAGAGATGGAAAGATGAGGAGAAGGAAAAGCATCCCTACTATCACACAGAGTCAGCGTTCAGAGGCCAAAGCTCCATGATTCCCACTGTGGCTGGCTGCTACAGCATCAGTCCCCATGTGGACTGATAGAGGGGCCTGCATGCAGCTGATATTCTGAGACATCAGGGAAAAGGAAACACCTCCTTAGATCTGCTTGAAGTCAAAGCTCTGCATCCAAACTAAATGCTGGAACTGATCCATTAATGATTGAATGATTGAGGAGTGTTTCCCTTCAGCTTCAGAGAAAAAAGCTTCAAAACATCTTAAAATCCCTAAAAATCAGAACAGAACGAAGGCCAGAGCTGGAGAGCTGTAAAAACTGCTGAAGGTTGGATCCAGATGTTAACATCTCACCTGAAAGGAAGCAGGAATAACACTGTCTGGATGTTAACATCAGGATTAACTTTGGTCAGGTGCTAAATAACAGGAAAGCAGAGTAAACACAGGGTAGATTCTACCAGAGAGGAAACCAATGAAGATCCAGCCTGACCCGCTTCCTTTAACTAGAACCCTGACAGGGTTTGGATCTAAAGGAGATCACTTGGAGCTCAGGACAGAAAGGTCTGAAAGTGGTTTGTTCCATCAGACTCTTCTTGTTCTCCTGTAGAAATAAAATAATTGAGGTTATTTGGTTGGAATCACAGGTCAGAGAAAACATCTCTGCTGCTGCAGGTTCTCTGTTGACTTGTTGACTGTTGCTATGCAATTCTGCCAATGAGCATCGGCTGGATGAAGAGGAGGCAGATAATGAAGATTTTAAAAGAGGACCTGGTTCTGAGCTCAGCTCTGAGGTGTTCGGACAAAAAACAGTTTAATCGAGGCAAGTAGAGTCAGAACCGGGAAGTTCTGAGGATTTTTCTAACAGCTTTTTCATTTTAACTTTGTTACCATAAAGATTAAAACCTTTCAGTTCTTCTGAGATTTTAATTTCCTGAGATAAAGTTTTATGGTTAAGTTAAATGTTTATACCTTGATAAAACTTTATTAAATTTATATTGAGTGGAAGACTAAAGATGCAGATTTGTTTTGTTTAGATAAGAAACGGATGGGAAACAGGAAGATGAAGCAGACGTCTATAAAAAAAA